AAACTGCTTTTAAAATCCATTGAAAATACTTTTCAATAAACCCACATACATTTAAAAGGCACATGGTTGTTCTGTGCACCACCACCACCACCCCTGCCATGTGTGTTTGGGCCTTCAGGTTAAAGAACAAGCAAACATGTTAAGTTAGGATTACCCCCAAATCCCTATACAACCAGTGTAATACCTGAAGGTTTTTTTTTTTTTTTAATTTAAGAGTATTAAGCACATCTATACTTAAAATGGTTTTTACCTTGGCCTGGTGGTGAAATGCAGCTTAAAGTTCCTGGTTCCATGCTAAACAGATCACACTGCAATAAAGCCAGGCACCATTATTTACTAAGACAGCATGGCCAAAGAATGGCATTATAGAATATCTATTTTCAGAGTTCAAAACAGGACACATACCTCCTCTTGCAGTCCAGCAGCAATTCAAGAGCGTTTCTGTTGGAAGAGACAGGCTCCAAGCTCCCTGAGGTTTTTATACCATCCTAACTCTTTGTTTCAAAATAGTCAGCAGGTTGATGGGCTCACCCCTCCCTAGCGTTCCCTTTTGTGGTCTGGGCTGGGGGAATAAGTTGTCTGCACAACTGGGCTGCTTTTCTTTTCTTTTTTTTTTCCTTTCACTTCAAATATATTTTTCTGTAGGGCCTCTTATAGTGCCCATTCCAAGTGGGGGCCCTTTGCAGATCTCAATGAATGTCTTGGGGCTTGTTTTTTATGAAGGCCCCCCCCTGGCGCTAAATGTTCTTGGGTTAGGCACAGACATTGCATAGCAAAACCTATGGCAATTATAGTGTTTAATAGGATTTCCAAACACAGCTCACCACACAGTCCCCGGAGCTTGCTTTTTATATCCACTGAAGTCCAAGTCCCACAGTCATGGTGCCGTTGGGCTGGCTCATCTATGACACAGTCGTCACAATCTTCAAAAAGCTTTTCCCTATGGCAGTGATTAAGGACAGCATGATCCAGTCCATGGAGTCCAGGGGCATATAAGGACAGCATGAT